CTAATTTAATAGTCCACATGTCGTTTGAAGCTGTATGTGTGTGTGTGTGTGTGTGTGTGTGTGTGTGTGTGTATGTATATATATATATATATATATATATATATATATATATATATACATACCGTATTTTCACAACCATAAGGCGCACTTAAAAGTCTTAGATTTTCTTCAAAAAGTGCGGCGCGCATTGCGCCCTGTGTGTTGTAATGACGACGTAGTAGAGAACACCATGAGAACGCTAAAGGGTGAAGTGTGTGCGTTGACTTTATCGCACATACCTGTATAAATGAACAGGTATGTGCGTTATGCAGGACATCGTTGTTTTAACATCCCTGAAAATGGCAAAGAGACACGCTTACGAAGCACAGTTTAAACTGAAGGCCATCAGCTACGCGGAGGAACATGGAAATCGAGCAGCGGCGAGAGAATTTAAGATTAACGAATCGATGGTTCGCAAATGGAGGAAGCTGGAAAACAAGCTCCGGCAGGTCAAGAAAACGCAGCTGAGTTTCCGCGGACATAAGGCGAGGTGTCCCGAGTTGGAGGAAAGACTCGAGCGGTGGATCATCGAGCAAAGAACGAGCGGGAGAAGCGTTTCGACGGTCACCATTCGGCTAAAAGCACTTTCACTAGCTGAAGAGATGAACATTGAACATTTCCAAGTAGGTCCGTCTTGGTGCTTTCGTTTTATGAAACGGTGTCATTTTTCCATCCGGACCAGGACTACGGTAGCGCAGCAACTTCCAGCGGATTATAAGGAAAAGCTCCTACTGCAGCAAACACATCGGCGACAAACACATCCAGCCCAGCCACATCACAAACATGGACGAGGTCCCGCTCACTTTTGACATCCCGGTGAGTCACACTGTGGAGAAGAAGGGGACCAGCACGGTAGCAATACGCACAACGGGCTATGAAAAGTCTTCTTTTACTGTTGTGCTTGGCTGCCATGCTAATGGACAGAAACTGCCGCCTATGGTGATTTTTAAGCGAAAGACTTTGCCTAAAGAGAAGTTTCCAGCAGGAATCATCATTAAGGCAAATGAAAAGGGCTGGATGGATGAGGAAATGATGAAAGAGTGGCTGAGGGAGGTGTATGTAAGGAGACCAGGTGGTTTTTTCCACGCATCGCTCTTAATCTGTGACTCTATGCGTGCCCATCTCACAGCCGATGTGAAAGAACTAGTGAAACGAATGAACTGTGAGCTTGCTGTCATTCCGGGAGGCCTGACAAAGGAACTCCAACCGCTGGACATCGGTGTGAATCGCCCGTTCAAAGTAAGGCTGCGAGCGGCCTGGGAGCGATGGATGACCGATGGAGACCACAGTTTCACCAAGAGTGGAAGGCAGCGCCGGGCGAGTTATGCCACAATTTGCCAATGGATTGTAGATGCTTGGGCTAACATGTCTGCTGGCACTGTTGTTCGAGCTTTCGCAAAAGCCGACATCATTTCCGAGGAGCCGCACGGCACGGAAAGTGACTCTGACAGTAAAGAAAGTGAACCTGGCATGTTTGATGGAGATTTATGGTTAGCCACCACCATTTTGTCAGTCTGTATCTGGAAGTCCCACAGGATCTTAGCTCGGTCATTCTCCACCACCCTTGGGGGCATCTCCCATTTTGACCTCGGGACTTCCAGGTTATACTCGGCACAGATGTTCCTGTACACTATGCCGGCCACCTGGTTATGGCGTTCCATGTATGCCTTGCCTGCTAGCATCTTGCACCCTGCTGTTATGTGCTGGATTGTCTCTGGGGCATCTTTACATTGGTGCCTGGTCTTGCCTGGTGTGATAGACCCCAGCCTCTATGGATCTTGTACTCAGAGCTTGTTCTTGTGCTGCCATGATTAGTGCCTCTGTGCTGTCTTTCAGTCCAGCTTTGTCCAGCCACTGGTAAGATTTCTGGATATCAGCCACCTCCTCTATCTGCTGGTGGTACATACCGTGCAGGGGCCTGTCCTTCCATGATGGTTCCTCTTCTCCCTCCTCTTTCTTGGGTTTCTGCTGCCTGAGGTATTCACTGAGCACTCGGTCAGGAGCTTTCTTGTCTTTATGCCAGTGGCTTCTATCTCCTCCTTTGGCCAGCCTATTACCCCAGCAGGGTACCTGATCACGTGTTGATGGCCCGGATCTTGTTCTTACCATTCAGCTGACTCCTCAGGACTTGCCTGACCCTCTGCAGGTACTTGGTGGTTGCAGCTTTTCTAGCGGCCTCTTCATGGTCCCCATTCGCCTGCGGGATCCCCAGGTACTTGTAACTGTCCTCTGTGTCTGCAATGTTGCCTTCTGGTAGTTCAATCCCCTCAGTTCTGACTACCTTCCCTCTCTTTGTTACCATCCGACTACACTTCTCCAGTCCGAACGACATTCCAATGTCATTGCTGTATAGCCTGGTAGTGTGGATCAGTGAATCGATGTCTCGTTCACTCTTGGCATACAGCTTGATGTCATCCATGTACAGGAGGTGGCTGACAACTGCTCCGTTCCGTAGTCGGTATCCGTAGCCAGTCTTGTTAATGATCTCACTGAGGGGGTTCAGGCCTATGCAGAACAGCAGTGGGGACAGAGCATTTCCTTGATAGATCCCGCACTTGATGGTGACTTGTGCTATGGGCTTGGAGTTGGTGTTGTACGCCACATCCCCATTGAGTTCCTGATGAAGGCTCTTAGGGTCCCATTGATCTTGTACAATTCTAGGCATTCCAGTATGCAGCTGTGGGGCATTGAGTCATAGGCCTTCTTGTAATCAATCCAGGCAGTGCACAGGTTGGTCAGTCTGGTCTTGCAGTCTCGGCTGACTGTTCTGTCTACCAGTAGCTGGTGTTTTGCGCCTCTGGTATTTTTGCCAATTCCTTTCTGTGTCCCACTCATGTATTGACCCATGTGCCTGTTCATCTTAGCCGATATGATGCCTGACAGGAGCTTCCATGTAGTACTGAGGCAGGTTATTAGTCGGTAGTTGGAGGGGACCGGTCCCTTCTTGGGGTCCTTGGGGATCAGGACCATCCGACCTTCGGTTAGCCATTCCGGGTGTCTCTCGTTAACTAGCAGCTGGTTCATTTGTGCTGCCAGACGCTTGTGGAGTGCAGTCAGCTTCTTTAGCCAGTAGGCGTGAACCATGTCGGGCCCTGGTGCTGTCCAACTCTTCATACTGGAGACCCTTTCTTGGATATCTGCCACTGTGATGGTTACTGGACCCTGTTCAGGGAGGTCGCTGTGGTCTGCCCTCAGATCCACTAGCCACTGAGCATTGCCGTTATGGGTTGCGTCCTTCTCCCATATGCTCTTCCAGTATTGCTCCGTCTCCAGCCTTGGTGGTGCTGTTCTCTTATTATTGTTCCCTTGCCACTGAGAGTTCTGTGGAGAACAGCTGGTTTATTCTCCTGCCTTCTATCTCTCTGGTGTACCTCCTCAAGCGGCTGGCCAAGGCTGTGAGTCTTTGTTCGGCAGTTTCCAAGGCCTCAGGTATGGACAGCTGGCTGTATTTCTTATGCACCTTCTTTGTCGCACCTTTCTGCAACTCTGTTAGTTGGCTAACCTCCCTCCGTGCTACTTTGATCTTGCCCTCTAGCCTCCTTCTCCATGGAGGGTACTGCCCCTTGTGGCTGTTCAACTTGTAGCCAAGCATCTCACTGATCACTGCTGCCGTATTGTAGATCAGCTTGTTAGTGTCGGTAATCGTGGTTGTAGGTATTGTCCGTAGTGCTGCATTAACATCATCTAGCAGACCTTCTGAGGGTACTTTATGTAATCTTGGTAACCGGCTACGGGGGATCCAAGTTTCAAGCTCCTATTTTTCAGGTCAGTTCCTCTCGCACTCAACGATCCTTCTCCTATCGCACTTGGGGCTAATCTCGGGTGGGGGTGATGATATCTCCCCCCTGACCTGGCGTCCTGACTCCTCCTTGCCATAGCATGTGTGTTCTGTTGTACCTCATCAATCTCTAGCTGTGATATCAGTCCCTTCTTTCGAATGTTGGAACACTGAGCTACTAGTTGTTTCGCCTTCATTGTGGATGTTGGGTATCGAAGAATCCATAGGTCCGTCATCCTATTCATGTAGCCCCTTCCGCCGGGGTTACTTGCGTAGTAGCATTCCATCAACGCCCTATTTTCGTCTCTTGCCCACCGATGCCTTCTTGTTCCAGTAGCCCACTTTTCGTCAGGGTGCCCTGGTTCCTCAACACCTGACGCGGACCTTGTTGATCCGGGCGACGTCCGAGCCGGCATGCCTTCATATTTATCTGTCTCACTCATGTCTGCGGTAGGCTCGCTTAGCATAGGGGATCTAGCCTTAGGACCCTTACTGGATACAGACGCCCCAGGCAGGAATGGAACGTGCGATCCTGGGTTCCAAAGGCGTGTAGTCCACTACGCTATACACACACACACACTCACTCACTCACTCACTCACTCACTCACTCACTCACACTTGGAATTAAGCACATTTATTTAAAATGAAAAGCATGTTGTATGCAACACATCACAGAATAAATAATTATGAGAAAAAAATGTAAACAGTGACAGTGCAACTCAAGTATTGTTTTCAGTTTATTGTAAACTCTGCCGCTTTGGACAACACAAGGGGCATTAATAAACATCTTTGCTATTTAGTGCACAATATTTGAATAAACTAACAACATCCACCGACATAGAACTGTGGCAGTCAGTGCAACTGAGGTAGGTATTAACATCAAGTCTAAGATGACTCACTTAATGGAGAGAAAAAGTGAGTGGCAGGGTTTTTGTTTTTTTTTATAAGAAAAGTAGCTTTTCTGCATTATCAGCAGTCAGACTGTTTCTGTTTTCATCTATAATGTGTGACACTGAGCTAAAAAGACTTTCACTTTCCACACTGCTACATGGGGATGAGAGGTATTTACTCGTCTGTTTCTCTGTTTAGAAGTCTCACAAGCACAGTCACAGCTGGGATGACATCAGAGGCTAGTGCGTCGTAGCTGCTCACTTTTTTAGTTAGTTCCTCAAAGGGGGCGAGGATGGCAACAGTCGTCTCCGTAAGAGCCCATTGGTGAGCGGTGAGATAGTCAGGGAGTTCGTGCTCAGAAACGCCCAGAACTCGCTTTTGCTCAATGAGGGACTGGAGCATGTAATACGTGCTGTTCCAGCGCGTCTGTACGTCCTGCTGCAGTCTCTTTTTTTGGCTGGTTGACCTGTCCCTGAATGTCCTCGAGGCGGGAGTAGGCTAAGGCGGAATGTTTAAAATGCCCAACTATTTTCCTTTCCACTGCTATAGCATCAGCTATGCTCCTCTGTGCTAATAAGCGTGGGTAAATAAGCGTGGGTAAACTCTTTTACATCATGTGCTAATCTCACTGGGCAGGCGTACAGACACTTTGCAGGCCAAATGTCTCTCACCTTTGCCCTAGAAACAAGTCTAATATTTATCTGTGTCTGTAAGTGTGTTTGCATTGACCCTCAAAAGACTGAATGCCAACTCTCATGAGCACATTTGCAATGTGTGTATGAAAAGAAGTATAACTACTTATTCAATAAAAGGTCACAAAATACCACTAATAAAAGGCCGGTTAGAATAATGAATTTCCCACAACTCACTGCCTCTGTTTGTATCTCTGTCACTGCAGGACCAACGTGGATCGAGAAGTCAACGCTCTCAGGAGCCCGACAAATTCGTTGAAGAAAGAAGTGGAAGAAAAAAATACAACTGTGACGAGTTTGGGAAAGATTTTACTGTGAAAGCTTCCCTAAAAATGCATCAGGTCATCCACACTGGAGAGAGACCGTTCAGCTGTGACGAGTGTGGAAAGTCTTTTACCCACTCTGGAAGCTTAAAAACACACCAACTCATCCACACTGGAGAGAGACTGTTCAGCTGTGACGAGTGTGGAAAGTCTTTTACCCACTCTCGAAACTTAAAAACACACCAACTGATCCACACTGGAGAGAGACCGTTCAGCTGTGACGAGTGTGGAAAGTCTTTTACCCACTCTCGAAACTTGAAAACACACAAACTGATCCACACTGGAGAGAGACCGTTCAGCTGTGACGAGTGTGGAAAGTCTTTTACCCGCTCTGGAAGCTTAAAAACACACAACTCATCCACACTGGAGAGAGACTGTTCAGCTGTGAGCAGTGTGGAAAGTCTTTTACCCACGCTGGAAGCTTAAAAACACACCAACTGATCCACACTGGAGAGAGACCGTTCAGCTGTGACGAGTGTGGAAAGTCTTTTTACCCACTCTGGAAGCTTAAAAATACACCAACTCATCCACACTGGAGAGAGACCGTTCAGCTGTGATGAGTGTGGAAAGTCTTTTACCCACTCTGGAAACTTAAAAACACACCAACTCATCCACACTGGAGAGAGACCGTTCAGCTGTGACGAGTGTGGAAAGTCTTTTACCCACTCTGGAAGCTTAAAAACACACCAACTCATCCACAGTGGAGTTAAAGCGTACAGCTGTGATCAGTGTGGCAGAGCTTTTACTCGCAGTAGCAGCTTACAGAGCCATCTAGTTACCCACTCTGGAATTAAGGCATACAGCTGTGACATTTGTGGAAAAACCTTCAGCCAGATAGGGAGCCGAAATACACACCTACGCATTCACACCAGACATGATGTGTACTGCTGTGAGCAGTGTGGCAAACAGTTTGCTACAAACACAGAGTTACGATGTCACATGTTTACCCACTCTGAGGAGAGACCTTATAAATGTGACCTGTGTGAGAAGACTTTTAAATCTCCACGTTACCTGAAAGCACACCAACAGATCCACACTAGAAAGACTCTACAAGTGCAGCTACTGTGAGGTATGTATTTTTGTTTTTATGTTGTCAGCCCGACTGTTTGAAACAACTCTGCTCATCAAATTGTGTTAGCATGTTAGCATGTTAGCATGGAAAGGCAGCTCTGAATGATTATTCAGACTCTGATCACAGGTTTTTAGGGATAGTGTTTGAGAATTGTATTACTGTTATTGTAGCATTAAACTATTAATTTAATGTTTTTACTCTTATGGTTTTTATAGCACATTAAATTGAGCTGAGTGTGACAATGTAAACAGTAAAATGTAATTGGACTTTGGCAGAGATGCTCTTTATCTCAGGCGACGTTCAGGATAAAAATGTTGACGGACTGACTTACACTGTCTTTGTGTCTTTGTTTAGAAGCAGAGCAACACAGATGGATCAAGTTCTCAACCCTGTCATCGCTGCGGGAAAGACTTTTGTTGTGACCTTTGTGGAAAAACTTTAAGTCATTGAAGGACTCTGAAAATACATCAACGTAGACACACTGGAGACAAAATGAACTACTGTAAAGAAAGCACTTCAAAGCACTTCAAACAATATGAAGTCATTCACAGTGGCGTTAAAAAGCATGTCTGCGATCAGTGTGGGTCATCCTTCATCAGTGCACGTCAGCTTGAAAAGCATAAACGAGTCCACACATGAGAGAAACCATACAAGTGCAGACACTGTGACAAAACCTTTTCACAATCATGTGATCATACTAAGCATGAGCGCAGACCCATTAAAGAGAACTTCATCTGTGAAAGAGTTTGAGTAATCTCAGTTCATACTCCACTCACAAACGATTCCATGTTACAAATAAACTGTTATGTCTTGATTCCCACTTTTACGTTAATCTTGTAAACAGTACATTTGCATAACGACTGAAATCGGCCCAATGAATGAACAATGGGCTGTGAGGTCAATTTCTTCATCATTAATATGCAAATTCTTATGGCCATTGATCAACAACCACTGATCAATGGCCATGAGTACCATTCACAGAGTAAAAATTTGCATAATGATTATGAAGGAACTGTTTTACTGTTACCAATGTTCAAAAACGTTTACTAAATTATCTCCTCTGTGCAAACATCAGCGTGATGCAGGACTGAAATCACTCCCATCTCTGGATCAAAGTGAATCTGCAGAGACAGAAAGATCCTCTTCTGGTTTCAGGGTCAGACTTAAACCCTTGAGATCAGGCTCCACAGAGTTCAGGTGGAGTCTTCTGTAAAGATCTGATGAGGCACCTATGAATGAAAATGTGCCTCTCGTTACATTTTAAGCTTTCTAAACTGTTCTACTGTAGTGTTTGTGTTGAGTGGTTAGCTTTGTTCCAGCAGTTTGATTAAGAAATCTGTTTCCTGTTAAATTTTTATTGAATGCATTGATCCAGGTGTTCTGCAGTTTTTTTTTCAGCTTGTTTGCGTAATGAAATCCTGCAACAGTTAAACCAAAATTTTACATGTTAAATAAAGAAATGGTTTACTGACAAAGAGTTTGAGCCGTGATGTCATTTCCTGTATATCAGAGCAACACCTGAAGTGACCAGTGTTTAAAGTCAGTCAAATTTTGTGTCAGCATGACCTTGTGAAAACTGCTTGGCGATGCTTCACTATGTTATCTGCTCACTGTTGGGGCGTAGAAGGACGAAACTCCCAGGGTGACCAGTGCCAGGAGCTTCCTGATGCAGAGAGTTGAGTGTGGGGGATATAAAGGAGAAGCTGAGGCATCCCAAGGTTAAAGCTGGCATAACTGAACTTTAATGTTTGATGTGTGTTTTGGTTCTCCTGCGTACAGTAATTAATAGCTTGAACACAGCAGAGCTTGATATAAAGACCTTACAACTGAATTGAATTAAATTGGTTATTTAGTAGGTCTAAAGGGATAAACTGCGTCCTCACATCTGCTTCATGAATATGAAGGGTTGTAGTGGGAGAAGGTGGTGTGAAGTCCTCATAGGTGTGAAGTGAGAAGGGGGCTCCTGTGGGTGAAGTCTTTGATAGCGTCGATGGCTCTGTTGTGGGGGAGTGGGAAGGTGGGAGGATGAGTGACCAAAGTGTCTCTATTGAGGTGTGAAAGCTGCTCGATGTCTCATCAAACCGGCAGTAAAAGTCATTGAGGGTGTTGGCCAACAGCAAGTCGTCAGTGGAGTGGGGCTGTGTGCTTCCTGAAGTGAAAATCTGGCATTTAAAGATGAATGGAAAAGACTCGCTCACAGCTGACTAATGAACATTTGCATGCATGCTTAAGAACTGCATTGACCACATTTCACCCAAGGTTTAAAATTCTGCCTGCAAATGTCAGAGGTCTGTGTCCATATTTTCTCCAGCATACGGGGGATTCCCATCATAATGAGTCTTTTGTAAGAGGTGATAAAGAACCTAATCAAAATTTCCATCCAAATTCCCTCCATCTTTGTGAGCTAGTGCATTTCAATTGTTGTTTATGTTATGCACACTCCTCCCTCCTTCTCCCATCTTATTTGTAAAAAATGTATACAAACAGGAAATGTGTTTTTTGTTGACGTCACCACTATATGCCTTTTTGAGCATTGCTATCAAATCTACATTAGTGTCCGACACCACTCTAATTGTCCTCTTTATATAGTGTCTTATTAACAAGTATCGGCATAAATCCTGTCTTTCCAGATTGTATTTTTGTTTCAATGTATCAACACTAATTAAATTTCCATCTTTAATCAAGCTATCAAATGTAGGCAATCCTTTAGCAGACCAACTTTTGAGACATGAGTCCAATTTTTGGGGGGTAATGTCAGAGACATAAGCATACCATTTAAATAATACCAAGTCTTGTTCTAGTTTGAATCCAAATATATATATTGTTAATTAAATGTTAAATAAAAAATATAAAAAGTTGCATTTCCTGCGAAAATGCAGTGTAGTGGAATCTGATGAAAACGGCAGGAAAATCTCCCTTTTAACAGGAAAGCAGAACTCTCAAATAACCAGGAAGGGGCGGCCATCTGTCACAACTGGTTGGGGTGAGAGAAGGAAGACAGGAGAAAAGACAGACAGAGATTAATAACAAGTATGATTCAATGCAGAGAGGTCTATTAACAGTGTTGGGAAGGTTACTTTTAAAATGTATTCCACTACAGATTACAGAACTTTGTTGTCTGGGTCAAGTTTGCTAGCCAGAGACAGAGAGAGGCGTTGAAAGGCTCCAACGGAGCTTATTGTTTGGGAGGAAAACACGAACACAGTGTACAGTCGAGTCTTAATAGCGTACTTACAACTGGGCTTTTGGCTGCAGTGATTATTATTGTATTTACATGCTTCCAGCTCGCGTTTCTGCTCTATGACAACTTGTACTTTTCTCCTTTTTCTCCCTCCTCGCTCACAGACACATCACGGGTATGGCAGTCCATTCTCCCTGCAGCACGGACTGCACTGCCCATGAGGCTGCATTCTTTAGAGCTATGCTTGTAACACTCTCTTATTGCCTTCATATTATTTTTAAAAATATTTCTTCACTTCATATGAGATGCGAGATTGAGACACAGGCATTGTATTTTTTCACAGCCCGGTTAAAGGCTTGGCTGAATTTACACTTCACACATTTTAATATCAAACTTAGTGTTTGTGTACACCTTGGTCATTATAACCTGACACTGATCAGGGCTGCTCTGACGATCACACTCACATCCATGTAATCATTTAACTGGGCTGATCTGGAGTTACTGCACAATGCTGAATGTGTCCTTACAGTACAGGGAATAACTCTCTCTGTGTTCCTGTAGAGAAACTCTGGGTTTGTGTGCTGACGAGCATCACTCACAGTAAGATACAAAGACTCACTCATACATTTCCACACGTGTGACAAATTCAAAAAGCTGCTGAAACCTTTAGAACATCATAAACTACACATTGTTGTCCTCTTTTAGGATGGAAAAGCTTTCAGATTTATTTACTCTTAAAAGGTAAACCTTGTTTTGCATTTAGGAGAATGTTTCAATAAGTCACACACACGGGAATTACAAAGTCTGAGGCACACCATTAACCTCAAATTTCACTAAACCTAACACTGAAACAATCTTCTGTATGTTGATGTGTGAATGTTATTGCAGTGTCAACTCCTCATGCTGAGTGTTCAGAGGCGAGTCCTCTCATTGTTCCTCAGTAATACAGTTTTCATCAAACAGAGCAGAAATGAACAGACATGAGCGTCTCTTTTCTCGGCTCTGTGTGCACAGCGAGGGACTTCTCTCTGCTGAATTTGTGACAAAGTGTTAGTGTGTTTAGTTTTTTCAGTTGGGTTTTATTTCAATCATAACAACAGTCTCCTTCAAGTGCTTTACATGGTAAGGTAGACCCTACAACAGGGATCCCCAATCCCCTGACTCTGGTCCAAATCTGGACCCCAAGAAGGTTTTGTCTGGACAGCCAAACATTTTTTCATTTAGTTTGTAGTTGGAGATTTTACTTTCACTTCATCACTTAAATCACTTAAATCACTGCTGCTGTTATTTGTATTGTGTATTTTGTTGTACAGTTATTTT